TTTTTTTTTTTTTTTTTTTCTGGCAAAGTCGAGAGAAGCGAATCGTTCGACGTCGAAACGGTGAACAAACCGTGGAGAAAAGGGGATCGTCGATTTTCTGCTTGAACGAAATTAAATCCACGTGCCGCGAAGTATCCCCATTCTTCGTTCGATCGGGCGATCGTCGAGAAACGACAGAAAAACTGAACCCCGCGTCCGAGCAACGCCATCGGCATCGAACTTGACCATGGCCTTCAGCGGCTTTGCGCTCGTATAACGAGATACGAGGAATGTAAGTAAGTGGCCGAGAGTCCCACCGGTTGTACTTACGAGAACTACTTCGGTCCGCTTGGTTGCCTTGTAACTAGATGCTCGGATACCAAATACGCTTTAAGGTAGCGACCGATGTGATCGATTTTGCAGGTGAAACGCAAGGAGGCCATTAGGCTAAGTAGATTTTCCTTTAAAAGTAGCCATAAATCAGCCTGCTTACCGTCATCGGTAATGGCTAATAAAAGGGCCAATAATACGGATATTTCGCGTCGAATTTTTCATAAAAACGCTTTCCGCTAGATTTTTAGACCCTTGAGTGCTAAGCGTAACTTAGATTAGTTTAATGTTACGCAAACAGTAAGTCTGGCGGGTTTATATTTATCACGCGCGTTCTTAGAACGCTTTTCATTTTTAATATTAAATATTATAGACACTGCGGGTTTGTTGTTGCAATTTTGCTCCACTTTGTACTTGCCTCAGGATTTTTGAGCGAGTGCGTACGTACTAGTGAAAGGTCAATAATCTTGTTATTGACAAAGAATTTCAAACATTATCGAAACACAATAGAGAAATAGACTAATGTAAAAGTAATATAATAATATAGAAAGAGAAAAATAAGTATTAAACATCTGTTTATATTGCACTTAAAAGTTAAAGATCCGTGTATGATCAATAATACAATTGAGAAGACTAAGTCCAAAAATAAAAGCCTTCAAACTACTTTACAGCGAACCTGAAATATCCATCAATTTGTCAAGTCTCTTAATACCGAGTTATTTTAAAGCATAAACCGTGTAACATTAAGAGTAACATCATAATTGACAGGAAGAGGAACGTATGTATAACACGATCGTGCGTACATACCGGAACAGACAGATATTTACCGTTCAATGCAAATATCATAAAATATCAATTTCAAGCTTCCTTCTATGCTCCTGTTAAGTTACAGCACTTGAAACTGACACGATGTTCAGTCTGCCCGTTGTAATAATCGCGACAGTAGTACGTATACTTCCAGCTGATCGATGAAGCTTGTATGCGTGTTGCAGGACGTACAACTCTTCGTTCGAGTGCAAGTCGTAGGCACGTCACTCACTCACGACGAAAGTCGCTAATTGATTTACCGCGAACGACAGAGCGATAGTTGCCAGAGCGGCCAGTGTTGGCCTATTATCGAGAATTCGTAACAATTTCTTAACAAGGTAATACGGAACTAAAATCCGCAGTTGGGTGGGGATTCCTTAACGGGCGAGCACAATGGCGAACCCATTGAAAAGCCACTGCTCGCGACTCAAGAAGAATCGTCTAATGTTCGCCGAGATATTTATATAAGTTTTCCTTGAATGCTATCCGAAGAGAAGTTTTAACGACGGAAGGCGCTAATAGGCTGCGAAAGTTTTCCGCGTTTCCGCGTCCGGAACGGATGCAATATCCGCAGTTAGCATCATCCCATTACTCGGAGCCCCCGCGTCGTAGTTGCGTCGTAATTGGAGGATTCGTTAGTTCTTCGACCGATCGCTCTCCTCTCCTTTTCGATCATCGATGGATCGCGAGCCTCGTGTCTTCTATTTTCA